TGGTCTCAAACTTGGGGATCAATGAATCCTCCCAACTCAGTCTCTTGAGTAGCTGGGACTTCAGATTTTTGCCACTGTGCCATTCATTATTTTATTTTATGTTTTTTTTTTCTCTTCCATGCGCAATGCACTGTTGAGAACTCTTTTTTTAAATTTATATATGGCAGCGGAATGCATTACAATTCTTTTTTTTTTAATTGGTTGTTCACAACATTACAAAGCTCTTGAGTTATTTTATGTTATATTGTTTGATATACTTCAATAGTTCCCTCTATCTGAGGTTTCTATACTTTGGTACCTGTAGTCAACTATGGTCTGAAAGTATTACATAGAAAATTCCATACAGACCACATTCACACAACTTCTATTACTGTATATTGTAATAATTTTTCTATTTTATTATTGTTGTTAATCTCTTACTGTGTCTAAATGATAATTAAACTTTTTCATAGTCATGCATAGGAAAAAACAAAGTAAACCATAGGGTTCGGTACTATTCATGGTTTTGGACATCCACTGAGGGGTCACAGATAAGGTAGGGTGGGGGAATACTGTACCAAAAAGTATATTTCACTATCATTCATATAATTTTTTTTCTTTTTGGTTCTATGGATTGAACCCAGGGTACTTAACCACTGAGCCACATCCCCTAAAATATATGTGTGTATATATAATATTTATTTAGCAACAGGGTCTCACTGAGTTGCTTAGCACCTCATTTTTGCTGAGGCTGGCTTTGAACTCACAATCCTCCTGTCCCAGCTTCCCAAGCTGCTGGGATTACAGGTGTGAGTCACCAAGCCCTGCTCCCCAGCCCTTTTATGTTTTGAGACAGGGTCTTACTAAGTTGCTGAGGCTGGCTTTGAACTTACAATCCTCTTGCCTCAGCCTTCCAAGCTGCTGAGATTAGAGTGTGTGCCACCATGCCCAGCTCAATTTTAAGAAATTATTTTAATTCTTTAGCCAGTGCATACTTGTCATCCCAGTGATTCAGGAGACTGAGGCAGGAGGATCACAAGTTCCAGGCCAGCCTCCGAAACTTAGTGAGGACCTAAGTAACTTAGCAAGAACCTGTCTCAAAATAAAAAATAAAAAGGGCTAGGGGTTCAATCCGTAGTAATCAAAACATAAAAAGCCTGGGGATACAGCTCAGTGATAGAGCATCCATAGGTTCAATCCCTAATATCTTAAAAAATCATTTTTAAACAAAAGTAAAAATGAATATTATCATATAGAAAAAAAATTGGCAAGGGGGGTACTATAGATTGAACCCAATGATGTTTTACCACTAAGCTATATCCCCAACTCTTTTTATTTTTCAGATAGGGTCTCACTAAGTTGCCCAGGCTAGCTTGGAACTTGCTTTCCTTCTGCCTCAGCCTCCCTACTAGCTATAGGTGTGTACTACCATGAAGGCTAGCATACAACTCTTATATACCATCCATGTAGATGCTGATCATATGAACTACAAATCAAACTGTCATTTGTGTGTGTGTGTCTGGTGATAGAGACTCAACCCAGAGCTACAAGCACACTAGGCAAGTGCTTAGCCACATCCTCAAGTCTATATTTAATTTTTAAGTATATGTTGTATAAGACCTACTCTTTAACTTTTAATTATTAGGACTGGGGATGTGACCCAGTTGTAGAGTACTTGTCTGGCATGCAGGAGGCTCTGAGATTGATTTCTAGTACTGGAAAAAGAAATTAAGCATAAAACAAACATTTTACATTCACAATATGAATGTATAATAGAATGGATGATCTTTTTCAGGGATCACTTTCATTTCTATAATAACCCAAACCAGAGAATACTTTCTCTAGATATGTTCCCATAGAATAAGGAGGTTCCTATTTTAACAATCTAATGTTTTTTGTTTTTGTTTTTCATAGCATTGGGGATTGAACGCAGGGATATTATTCTACAGAGCTATGTCCCCAGACCTTTTTATTTTTTGAGACAAGTTCTCACTAAGTTGTTGAGCAAAGGGTACCCTTGAACTTGAGCTGGGATTGCAGGGGTGGGGTACACCACCATGTCCAGCTACGCTATCTACTATTTCAATGTATTTGTTTAATAGATCTCAAACTTTGAGTTCATATCACCATTTGAAGTTTGAAATTTAAAATAATTCTGATTGCTCTAGAAAATGGAAACCAGTTCAAGGGTACATGTTGAAAAAATGTTTAATAAAGAAAAAAAATTTACAAACAATTAAGCATTTTCTGAAGATCACCTATTAGAAAATAAAATGGTATTTCTCCCCCAAATCAACCCACTAACTATTTAAAAAAAAAAAAAGAAAAAGAAATATTTTTAAACACAAAATAACAGTAATTATGGCCTCAAAAATACATTTTCTAGGCTATCTAAGATAGAAAGGGAGGGATTCTAAAGTGAATTTTTAAAAATTTCATGATACCTTTAAGACCGTGTTTCAGACAATGTTCCATAACGACAAAGAACTGCTGCAAAGGGGGATAGTCAGAGTCCAAAGTGCGACCAAAGCTGAGAGCAGATTCAATGAGTCCTTTGATACTCAGTTTAGCCATGTTTAACAAGTTTGCTCTCTCTACAGCTGAAGGGTCTTTTGTAGCTGGAAATACAAGAAAGGAATCCAATATCATTTACAAGACAATAAAAAATATACAAACTTTGTCCCTTCCTCTATAAAATGAACACTGGTTTGCTTTTCCTTTTTCCTGAATATCTCCTACCTAACTTCTCTTTAAGTCTCTCTCACTCATACCATAGCAAACTGCCATGCCTGCTCCAGCCAAAGGTCTGAATCATTTTTAAGTTTCTGCAGTTTTGCCATTCTCCTACAGTTGTTTTACTTTATGGAAACTCTTCCCTAACAAAATGAGTTTTTAAAATTATTTTCTAAGGAGATAGGTTGGGGACATAGGTGACACATTTAAGGGTCTCATGCAAATGGTAGATAACAGATATGCTCTTAAGGATAAATTCCAAGCAAAAAATATTCAGAATAAACCTATAATAAAATAAAAGGTAAAGCTCTAAGATACTACTATCTCTCATAACAAACACAGCAGTTAAAACAGTAACACCGACAAAAACGCAGAAGCGGAAGCTGCTCAATTCTTTCAGTCACTTCAACTTTCTTTCTATCTTGTTTTTCCATTCCAATTGTAGTTTTGTATTGCATGAACCACAGTTCCCTGTCCTTCCATATAGCTGATGATGTCTGTGTTTGAGTTTGAATGCCAAGACATATTTTAAAGTCCAGATTTTTAAATGACATTTTCAACTCCCAAATATATATATCTTCTCTCTCACAAATTTTATTCTTTAAGAAATACAGATGCGGGGCTGGGGATGTGGCTCAAGCGGTAGCGCGCTCGCCTGGCATGCGTGCGGCCCGGGTTCGATTCTCAGCACCACATACCAACAAAGATGTTGTGTCCGCCGAGAACTAAAAAATAAATATTAAAAATCTCTAAAAAAAAAAAAAAAAAGAAATACAGATGCTTCCCCATACTCTCATCACTTGTGACTGGCAGGAATATTTTCAGAAAACAGAGATGACAAAGCTGAGGTGCAGAAAAATGAAACACTTTGTGGTGCATGCCTATAATCCTAGCGACTCTGAAGGGCAAGACCTGCAAATCTGAGATCAGCCTTGGCAACTTAGCAGGACTCTATTTCAACATAAAAAAAAAAATAGAAAAGGCTGGGAATATAGCTCAATAGTAGAGCGACCCTGAGTTCAGTCCCCTTTAGCACAAAGGGGGAACAAAGCACTTCGTATAACACTTAATTATAATATCTGACTAATGTACAAGCCCAAGTAGTCAAAGTGCCCATTTTTCCTTCACTGAACAAAAATTCAGAGTTCTGCATAATTTAGTATTCTAGATCTGACTTCAGCTAGCTATCATGAAGCATGACATTGAATTCTTAAGAATTTAAAACCCAAACCCAAGTGTTATGACCAGGCCGACTTAATGGAATACGTGTGCACCATTATTTCTTCAAATCTGCATGGTGGTAGGGCTCCCCAGTGAAACCACCTGATGTGTCATAATCTGTGACGATTCTCATTTTATAGTGCCCATCAAAACCCGTAGCGCGGGATATGACAACCATACAAAGGGTGACCGCAGCTGCTGGGCGCAGGTTGGTGCTAAGTACCAGAGACTGCCAGGCGGAGGACCTTTACGCTGCGGCCACGCCCTAGCAGGACTCCGTGACTCGGTGAGGCTGCAGATGCACCGAGAGACCAGGCAATGGGCCCCTCTGCGCACCTAGCCGAGGCCTGGAGCCCGTTCCCTGCCTCTCCTCCTACCCCAGCCCAAGGCCGCCTCCGGCAGCCCCCCAAGACCCCCGCGGAGGGCTCACCCAGGGTCTTGCACGGCATCGCTCCCCCTCTCTCGGCGTGGGGCGCCCAGGCCAAAACCTGAGATGCGTCTTCCCTCCGCCACCCCCAAATCTGAAAAGTCATCGCTCTTCCCAGATTGTGACCCCGACTCCGGAGCGAAACCCAGCCCGCCTGCTCCTCGCTCCCTGGAAGCCGTCAGACCTCCAGTCCTCGGCCACCAGACCCCAGAATCCAGGCGGGGGCGGGAAAGAACAAGGTGGGGCCGCGCGTTGCCATGGCGACCCCGAGCCCCCGAATCTAGGCTGCCCCCGCCCACCCCAGG